AATTATAAAAATAACATTAAAATAATATGTACTATGTCCTGCATCTTGCCACTTACTTGGTTCTCTGTTCTCCTTTCTTTATGGGAGATTGATTCCCACCCCCCACAAATTTACTTTGCCGTTCAGCCACCTGTTTTGATTATTTTCCTTGATCATTCTCTTCTGGGCATTCCCTCCCACCCCTCCTGGCAATCAAAGAGCTAAGAAAGTCCACCAGGTGGGAGTGGGGCTGTAATCACCCAAGATCCCAGGGTTTAGCACTAAGACATCTCCACTGAGAACACACAGAGGAAACATGAAGGACACAGTAAACTGTCTTCCTGAGAAAACTAGTGGCCATGGTCAGTCTGCATAGTTTCTACTCTGTGGCACTTTGCCCAGAGCTATGATGCCGAGGGAAGCATTCCCAGTGCCAGACTCTGTAATGGGCAACACTCAGGCATCACATGCACAGAGTGATCTACTGAAAGACTGACAGGTTGAGCCCCAGTGACTGAGCCCACCTTGAGAAAGGTGTGGGAGAGTGCAGTGATTCTATAAGGATGTTTTAGAAGTTCCAGATCCATTACATGTCCTCAGCAAAATAGAAGGTGGTTTATATTTGGCACAAACACAAATACCTATAGGGCCCACAGAGGTCATTTAAATGAGGATGAGCAACATTGGCCTGCTAACTCAGGTGGACCTGAGAGCCCAGTCCCAGTCTGAATGGGTCTGCAGGATTTGATGAGAATATGGTGTCTAACGGAAGCTGGAGATCCATATCATTTAATGTGAAATTCCCCAGGTTTAAAAAAAGTATAAATGCTCTATGTGTGCTAAAAGCTCATTAGTTATCAGTTTGCAACCCAAGGCCTAAATGATCATTAAGGCCCTTTCTCACACTTGCTTTCTAAGTGGTTTTAAATCAAGAATAATAAGAAAAAATTATCTAAACTTTCCAGTGTATGAAATATGTTTCCTCTACGTTACTTTGGGCTACAGCATCATATTTTAAAAGGTTATCCGCCTAATACATATCCAGCCAGTCATGTTCTCTCCATCCATTCTCTGACCACTAGTCAGACAACCTCAAGTCTTCAAGGAAATGGAGTATAGGCCCAACCTCACAAAATGTGGAGGACCTGGTCCTAATCTTTCCGGTTAAACTTGCTTTGTAAAAGTCCACCCCACTTTTCAGGAAGAGCTAATTCCTAAATTACTTAAACTCTTACTGTTCACATAACAAAACTGGCTAAAGGCAATCACAAAAAAACACCATTAACAATGGACCGATTTCATTAATTAATAATAACTCTTAATCCTAAATAAAAGATCAGTCCTGGCTGGGTAGATCAGTTGGTTGGAGCATCATCCCAATACATCAAGGTTGAAGATTTGATCCCCGGTCAGGACACATACAAGGATCAACCAATGAATGCATAAAGAAGTGGAACAACAAGCCGATGTTCCCCTCTCTCTCCCTTCCTCTCTCTTTCAAATCAATAAAAATAAAAAATAAATAAGTGGTTAACGAATTAAACACAGGAGTGTATTCAAAGAATAATGAGTTTATTTCAAAGATGTAAGGATGGGTTGAACATTAGGAAATCTACTAGTATGTATTTCTTTATATTAATAAGTCAGAGTTAAGTGAATATAGTGATAGAGTTTACGAGAAAGTTGATTAAATTTAACATCCTTCGCCAATTAAAAGCTCCTAGTAAACTAGGAACGGAAGAAAATGTCTTTAAAGATGACAGTGTATTTAAAGAGTATCTAGTACCAAATGGCGGCAAACACTTGTCTTACTGCATTGAAGACTGAATGCCCATCATCGTATGTGGTATTCTTCCAAACTTCTCTGATGTTTTGGTCAATGCAATAGGAAGACAGAAAACTGCATTCTTTGTAGGTGATATTGTTACCAGAAAGGGGATGGCCCTGAGCAGGTCTGCCTAGAGCTGGCTGGTAGTGTGTGGGTTCTTGACTTCGTGCAGGAAAGATTTTGTAACAAGTCCTAGTGACTTTGAAGGTACATTTATTAAAGCTGGGAACAGGAGACAAGGAAGGGCTTACTTAGGGTAGGAGAAGCAACAGGAGAGCCTGGGCGGGGCTGCTTTAGTTCACTGGGAAGTCAGAGAAAAGGGGGCCTTGGAGACAGGTTCAGGAAGTTAGTCCCAGGGGGAGAGTGCATGCTGGGACCTTCGTTTTGGGGGGTTTTAAAGGCTGGATGCTTCCCCTGGCCGGTTTGTCTCAGCGGTTACAGTGTCGGCCTGTGGGCTGCAGAGTCCCTGGTTTGGTTCCCGCTAAGGGCATGTACCTCAGTTGCGGTTTGTCCCTGCCCTGGTTGGGGTCATGTGGATGGCAACCACTTGATGTGTCCCTCTCTCTCTTCCCTCCTCTCTCTCTCCTGCTCTATCTGAAGATAAATGTAAAAAAAAAAAAAAAAAAAAAAAAAGTCTTAAAGACTGGATGTTTAGGGGCAGATTTAGGGAGGATCACAATAGGATATTCATCAATTTTATGCTGATATGCCAAAATGAGATTTATCCCCTTCACTTAATCTCTTGGGTGTGGTTGGCACAAATGGCAGTAATTGGATTTCTGCTATCTGTCTCCCTGAGTAGGGTCATTTAAGCTATTTAATGTCTGGCTAGGGAGTGGAAGTGTAAACCATTAAATCTTTTTAAATTTTTTTCTTTTTTTAGAACGAGAGGGAGAGGGGGAGAAAGAGAGAAACATCAATGTGAGAGCAAAAACAATAATTGGTTGCTTCCTGCACACTCTCAACTGGGGATTGAGCCCACAACCCGGGAATGTACTCTGACCAGGAATCAAACTGGAAAACTTTCTGTTCATGTGATGATGCCCAACCAACTGAGTCACACTGGCCAGGGCTAAACCATTTACTCCTAAGTATCCTTGGTTTAGGAAAGATAGGACTTACTAGATGGCTGTAAACTGCTTGGTCATTTAACTGTCTGCCTCGGTTTCCCTATTCCATTTGCCAAGGAATTTTCCAGCTTCTTGCTATCCTGCCTCAATATGATTATTGACATAAAAATTCAGAGACATCAGCAGACAAGCTAGTAGGACTAATAAGACATTTTCACAGTGTGGTAGGATACATGATTACACAAAAATCAGTAGTTTTCATCATTCATAGTAACAACAAAAACTATAAAATATCTAGGAACAAATTTCACAAGAATTGTGCAAATCTACATGACATTTTTTATGTATATTTAAAGATATAAAAGACCTAAATACACGAAGAGATGTGTTCCTGAATAAGAAGACTCATGATTTTGAAAATTTTTAAATAGAATTAGGAGGGGACTTGTTTTATGGAAAGGAAATATATTATGAAGTTATAAGTGTGGCATAGCATAGGAATTAGCAGATACCTAATAGAATAGATGAGAATGTTCAGAAACAGATATATACAAATTTAGTTTTGATTAATGGCATTTAAAAAAAAATATTTTTATTAATTTTAGAGAGGAAGGGAGAGGGAAAGAGAGAAATATCAATGTGAGAGCAAAACACTGATTGGCTGCTTACTCCCACAGGGGATCAAGCCAGCTACCCAGGCATGTGCTCTGATGGGGAATCTAACCAGCAACCCCTCCAAGCACAGGACAATGCTCCAACCAGCTCAGCCACACCTACCAGGGCAATTATGGCACTTTAAAAGTAGTGGGGAACGAACAGATTATTCAGTAAATTATATTGGGGCAACTGGTTAACCATTTGGCAAAAAGTAAAGTGAAGATCCCCATCTCAATCCATTTATAAGAATAAACTGGAGATTGCAAATTTACATACTATTTTTGAGTGTAGTTTGGCAATTGTATCAAAATTTGATATTTCCATAATCTCTTATTGAACAATTCTATTTCTTAGAACTAATTCCAAGGAGGTAAATGGACAATTGTACAGAAATATCAGTATAAGGATGTTTATTGCTATGCTTTTCGAAGTAGTAAAAAATTTAAAACTACTTAAATCTCTATCATGATGGATTATTTCAAATGTGTATGTGTAACATAAATACAAACTATGGAATGCCATGAGTTGTTAAAATGATGGCTTTAAAATGATGAAATAGATTTTTATGTATTGGAATGAAGAATATTCACATCATATTAAATTATAATAATGTTTGAAATCTGTAGGTATTCTTTGGTCACTTTTTTTTTTTTTTTTTTTAATGTGTGAAGGTACAGAAAAGCCCAGGGATCTATAGCAAACTGTTTTGTTTTGTGTTTGTTTTTTCATTTCCAATAGGTAGATTCTCCTTTTTGCCTGGAAGACTTGCGCCTCTCTTAGCTCTTTTACCCGGGTAACTTCAATCGGGGCACATCCTTCAACTTTTTGGGGGGAGGGGAGCAGACACCTATCCTAGATAACTGCTCTCATAGGACCCATACCTGGCCATGCTACCTATAAACCATACCGCTCCTTTTTATTTATCGAAAGTACTTACTTTTTGTTTCATCATTGGACTAAAACTCCATGCGGGCATGGACGGCATTTGGGTCAATCCTATTCACTTGAAAAACCTATCACAGTGTCCGGCAAACAACCGGTCCCTTACTGAGCTCTTGCCGAGTGCTAAATACCGCGCGGGGTACTTGCAATGACGTCACGACCCCTTGGTAGCTATTACTGTCATCTCCACTCTGAAGGTGAAACAGAGTGTGAAGCTCGTCCCAAACGCCACTGGTTGCACGGGGGTCACTTCCCAGGCCTGCCCTGCTCTTGGCCACTGCACCCAATACACGGTGACCAGTAACTACCGAAGGAAACGCGACTACGGGGGTGTTGCTGTGGGGAGTTAGCCCCAGAAGGTGGTTGGAGTAGGAGCCGATTAGACTCCAGACAACGCAGACACTCGCACGCTCCCAGCGTCACGGCCCGCCGGCCGGGCCGGAAGGGAGCGGCAGGGGCGGGGCGGGGCGGGCTTCCGGGGGCGGGGCGGGGCCGCGCTGCGGGCGGAAGTCGGGAGGTTCGGTGTTCTGAAGACGCTGGTTTGTGACAGGGAGCGGGAGAGGGAAGGCCTGCTTAAAGGTTGCCTCTCCATCCCTCCGCTCCCGGGCACCCCTGGAAAAAACAGCACCCCGGCCCCGCGGCTAGCCCCTCCCCCCAGGCTCTCTCCGCTCGATTTCGCCACCGTTATGTGGGAAGCGAATCCGGTGAGTAGCCGGGCGGGACGGGGCGGACCCAGTGGGCGGGGCTGGTGGGAGAAGGACGGGAGCGGTTCCCGGGACCTGCTCCCCCTCTCCCGCTTCGGGCTGGATGTTGAGTTCCGGGGCTCCAACATTCCGACCCTTGGGGCGTCTCCAGCCCTGCCTTTGACTGGTGGCCACGGCCCGGTGGCCCCCCGGCGTTGTAGTGCTTTCCTTCTAGTGACTTATTTTACTGGCTGTAGTTTCTCCGCCTTCCTTTCCTCTCCTTTTTAAACTTTGTGTTCTAATTGGAGTTACTGGGCTTCGGACCTGTTCCTCTTCCTTTGCCTTAGGTGTACCTGCCAGTCCCGCCCACCCAAAGCTAGGGGAGTCGACCCTCGGGGCTTGAATGGGCCTGGAGGAGCCGGCACTGCTCCCCTTCTTGGTGGACAGTCATTTAAAAGTTGGGGGACCGAGTGTATGCTCTGAGCTGCTCGGTGGTGAAGTTCTTAGATATTTCTTTTTCATGGACAGACTGATGACCTGGAATGTTTCAGCTGCAGGTTTTGTCTCCCTCCTTGTTTGATTCCGGTGTATGCATTACACCCGCATGTATTTTTGTCTGCTTTGCTTTTATACACGTATTTAATGTGCAGCCCTCAAAGAGTGCAATACGTTTGCCAAGGATATTCCACTGATTACTTGTTAGAGTTGAAATCGCTTAGTAACATGGCAAATGTACACTTTATGCCTTATGAGTTGACTGGAAAAATGACAGAATCACATTTCAGCAAATCGCTGGACTAAATATGTGAAACTACCCCATATGTGGAGATATCTGCTTAAATTTGCTTTATAACCCTGTTTCCATACTTGCAAACATTTCTTTAATGTAATTAATACTTTTCTTCCATTTCTGGAATATATTTCCAGATAAACTGGAGTTTATCAGCTAACTCTCTTAAACTTTATTGTTTAAGTTTTTATCCAGCAGAAACTAGTCTGCTGGTATGTATTTGTTGATTACACATTGTGGTTCCATCCCAGTTCATCATGTAACAGTGGTCATCTCAGATTTTTCTTTTTTGTTCATACTTATAGCCCTCTAACATCAGGCCACATCAGAGGAAAGTAGTTGCTGGTATTCGATTTTAGCAAAAATAATTTAGAAATATGAGAACATGCTCTCTGCATATATATTTAGTTTCACTGTCATCAACAATCTTTATTTTGTATCACGTGTGTGTGTTCATTTTGTTGCTTTGTTTTTTGTTAATCTTCACCCAAGGATATTTTCCCATTGATTTTTAGAGTGGAAGGAAGGAAGGGAGAGAGGGTGGAAGGGACGGAGGAAGAGAGAGAGAGAGAGAGAGAGAGAGAGAGAGAGAGAGAAAGAGAAAAATTGATGCGACAGAGATATATCAGTTGTGTTTGCCTCCTGCACTACCCTGATGAGGGCTGGGGATCAAACCTGCAATCTGAAACCCAGGTACATGCCCTTGACCAGGAATCGAACCTACAACCCTCAGGTCCTCGGGCTGATGCTCTAACTGCTGAGCAAAACCAGCCAGGGCTGTGTGTTCAGTTTGTATTGGCAGTCTTTATTTTATTTATTTTTATTTTTTAAGATATGCTTTTATTGATGTTTTAGAGAGAGAGAAGGGAAGAGACTTAGAAACATTGATGTGAGCAAGAAACATCCAGCAGCTGCCTCCTGCACACCCCACACTGGGGATCGAGCCCACAACCGAGGCATGTGCCCCGGCCGGGAATTGAACCAGGACCTCTCAGTCCATGGGATGACGCTTAATCCACTGAGCCACACCTGCTGGCAGTCTTTATTGTCTTGATTTCTCTGTAACTTTTTAGTCACCCAATTGCATGTCTTGTTCAAAGTCACATATTTTAAATCCTTCACTATATTCTAAGCTCTATATGGGCAGGGAGTTTTGTCTGTTTTGTTTACTATGGTATCCTCAGTCTAGAATGGAGCCTGGCACCCATAGTAGGCACTCAGTAACTATTTGTTGAATTAACAGAGGTGATGTACTAAGGAGAGTCCTTTGCTCCTGCTGTTTTTTCCCCTTCTCCATCACATATACATCAGCATTTGCTATTGGGTCATCTGTATGTTTGTGAGGGTTATAAAGGCATTAATGAATGTTTCATATATTTGGTTTGTTATATCATCTCATTTCTTTGTAAGAAGCACAGTTTTCTCTGTGATCACCCTAACGATTTTGCTTGATTTTAGTAAAGTAGACTGACTTTTGCTAAAAGTACTGACCTTCTGCGTAGAATTTTAACCCTTATCATACCACCCTAATATGCCTTAAGGGTACTGGGTTTACTTGTGGATACTGTTTTTCTTCCTGTAACCATATGAATGCTGACAACAAAGATAGTTTAGTTTTTAAAATACTTGCTTCATGTGAATTTCTCTAGTAATTTGTTAGTTTCTTTTAATAGAAGAGGCATCTGGATAGTCTGTCCAGCTGTGCTCTTGGAATGAAATTAATTTTAATGTTACCCTAAGCCAAACAATTGGGAAAATTTTTTAAAAACACAATGATGTTAAAGGTAAATGCAAATGACTTTTGCATTACTCATCAATTTAAATCACTGTCAGTCATTTCTTTCTATTGAATGAGAGAATAAATTCTACTGTGTGAAGAAAGGTCATTGTAAACTGACTTACTTGAACACTTCTGCCTAGTTTCTCCCTGTATCTTTTTGTTAGCATCCATGACCTTAATATGCCACCTGTGATCTGCAAATATACCTTCTGTGTGATACTGTATTCTACTCAGGTGTTTTGAGGAAACATTAACACTGGATTCTGGGTAGTTTCACTGTAAACATCTTTGCCCCAAGCATTTTTGTTACAATAATTTTCGCAGCAAACATTTTCATCGCATAACTAATTGGCAGTAAGGCAATTTCACCATAAAAGGTAAATAATTAGTTGACAGTTTGGTTTCATTTCTTCCTTGATGAATCATCAGCAGTGTATTTAAGCTAGTTGTCAGTTGGTTTCATTTCTCCATTGACAGAGTTCTTGTAGCACTCCCATTTTTATATTATATAAATCTTAGTCAAATTGCATACCAAACTAGAAAATAATAACATACCAGTTTCTGTGTATTTTTCGGTAAGCATGGTCATCCCTCCCACCCATGAAAATCAAGTTTACCAAGCGATGGCAAACATAAAAGAGGTGGCTACTAATTCACAACAATCTTTGAGAGCTTAATTTATTCTTTAGTTGGAAACTGATACCTCGCTTAACAAAGGAAGACATTTTAGTGATAAAGAAGTGCAGTGCTGAATGAGGAGACAAATCAACAAGTGAAAAATAAAAAAATAAAAATCTGTACTGTGCCTGGCTGGTGTGGCTCAGTGGATTGAGTATCCTCCTGTGCACCAAGAGGTCACTGGTTTGATTCCCAGTCAGGGCACATGCCTGGGTTGTGGGCTTGATCCCCAGTAGGGTGCGTACAGGAGGCAACCAATTAGTATTTCTCTCTCATCGATGTTTCAATCTTTCTCTCCCTCTCCCTTTCTCTCTATCTAAAAATCAATAAAAACATATAAAAAAAGTGTACTATGAACAAAAACTTCGAAGACAATGTATTTTCATTTTTTGCAATAAAGTCTTTTCAATTTTGTTATTAATTTTTCAGGTTTCATTATGTTCTTTTTAATGTCTCCCTTTTATATTTCGTTCTTTTATCTTTTATGGTGACATTTTCTTATGGTCAATTAGTTGTGCGGCAAAAATGCTTATGGCAGAGATGTTTACAGTGAAACTACAGGATGTGTGTACACTGACCCTGGCCGTAGTAATATTCAGAGGTCGCTGCCCCTTCAGGTGGAAAGTCTCCATGACGTGGTTTGAATGTGAAAAATTACCACAAGCCTGCAGCATTTCCTTGGGGGAAATCCCAAAACAAAATAACCAAGGAGTTACAAAAACTTTATTTAAGTACACAATTTTATTTTATTTTTCAAGACAGTCATGAGATCAGTGATGATTCTACTGAAGGCTGTCACTGGCCAGGCACCTTGAGGTAAGCATCATGTCCCTGCCAGGGCAGACCAGACTGACGAGCAGCAGGCGTGCGCAGTTCTGATGTGAGCTCTTGGCATTTCTTCATCCCACTGGGGGAGGGAGCCCTCGACTAATGTCCCCAGTTTAGGAATGTGGCAAGTCTCTCGAAAGGAGTTGGAGGGTTTACCATTATTGTCTTGACTCTATACACCCTGACTTTATCCTGCCTTTGTCTGTCTCCTTGCCATTCATTGTCTTATCCTCTTTCCTGGGATTGGAATAAGTAGATCAATGTTACATACAGGGGTGTTTCAGCTTCTCACTCTCACGTTGATACGCCAAAATGAAAAACAACAAAACATCTATATAAGATTACATACCATCTATTACAATAACAAGACCTTACTTTATACAAAGTGATAAGCCTTTCTAAAATTCCTTTGTATTTATTAACTCACACTATTAGAATAATCCGATTGGTTAGGTAGGGGAGGGGTAAATGATTTCTCCAAGACCACTCAGGTGAGTTAGCAACAGAATTGGGTCAGTCCCCATGTCCTCTCTCACCCCATTCTTGGCTTGGTGGTGGCAGTGATGACAGTTGTATGTGTCACGCTTTACCTGCTGAGCCACTGTTTCCTTTGTTTGTTTTGTTTTTTTATATTCACAGCTGCTTCCAAGATCCCTTGGCATTATGATTCTATCTCCTTTTTCTGTCAAACTTCTTAAAGGAAGAGTCTTATATTTTAATTCTTCTTACTCATACCTCAGCTCCTTTGGCCCCATTTCTGCCCCTTACCTTAGTTGCTAGGAGGTCACCAAGAGCTTTTGAGTCCCTACATACAGTGGCAACCTCTACACTGTTGACCTCCTCTGTTTCTCTGTGACATTAATGTCATTAGAGGGGTTTCCCATTGTGCTCTTTTTTGGTTTTCCTGAGACGACTACTTTGGATTTCTTCTTTCTATGATTTGTC